GGATAAAATCAAGCTTACAATAGTCTTACTAATACATAGTATATACACAGTATGAGCATATATACATAAACACTATAAAACAGGGTAGAATAGAATGTTCAACTGGTTTAACCTGCAGCCAAGAGGCCCAATACTGAAGACAAAAGAAATATTCAAAGGAAATTGCAGTAAAATACAGCACATGTTGTGTCTTTTATTAAAAATATAGTGTTCATGTAATCTGAGCTTCAGTGACCACTTCGCGGCAATGTAGCAGATATGCTACAAATATATTTATGAAATTATTCAAACACACAAACGAATTTATACAAACACACAAATACGATATGAAAAGACTGCCTTATGTCAAATTATAATATACTAAAACTTATACCCTAGAGCGCTTTACAAAGATAGAACATTGTCACGAACTTAGAGCTTTAAAACTTACCGAAATCACTGTGATTTGGACATCATTTTCTCGGTCTAAAAGCCACTTTGGTAAAAATTTTCGCCATTTATATATTACCATTTGCATTCAAGCGTTAAGCGTTAAGCGAAATTACGGTTTGTTTCCGGTTTTGAAAACATGGGTTTGCCCAATGAAAACTGTACGTTTGACAGGTCAAACTTGTACGTTTGACATTTCAATTTTCAAAACAACACTTCGCTGGGCGGGACTTATTACAGGTAAACTACGTGAAGCGTTCCTCTTTTGAGTTCCTAACTCATTTGGAATTTTCATAATCTGCTTTGCAAATTTGAAAAACGCTTTGCAAATCCTTGAGGGAATTTGCAATTTTCCTGTCGGCCGTTGCAATATTCCAACGCAAATAAAGTTCCTTTCAAATTTTCCTAACTTCCTGTTTTAATTTCCTGACTTCCTGTTCCGTTCTGAGCGTTATCATTGGCGGATTATTTTTGTTAGCCAATTAAAATGCGAAGAACAGAACAGGAAGTTAGGAACTTGTAACAGGAAGTTAAGAACTTCTAACAGGAACTGAGGAAAATTTATTTGACTCTTGAACATTGCAAATTCCCTCAAGGGATTTGCAAGGGAGTTTTTCAAATTTGCTAAGGTAATGAGGAAAATTGCAATCAAGTTAGGAACTTAAAAGAGGAACGCTTCACGTAGTTTACCTGTAATACAGACTACATTTGAATATTTGATTTTAAACCAGCAAATGGAAATTTTAAAACGAATAAGTTTGGAAGATCCTATATTAGTGGAAAACCTTTATCAGAAGACTTTCGAGTATTAATCTTGGACACAATTATTGAGAAGGGAGGAGACAGTTTAACAGGTTATATTCCAGTTACTTATATCGAGATTTCGAAACGTTTCTGCGTTAATTCACAGCAAACAGTTGCAAAGATATGGAGGGAATTTTGCCAAAGAAACAGTTTTGCTGTACCGAGGTGCTGTACAATCCCGTAGAGGACTGCGACTATACGTATTAATAATCGCAAATTAACTGACAACAGTGCTTCCATTTTCAAAATCAAAATTTCTCATTTTTGTCATCAAAATTTCTCTAAATTCCTTAGATTGTATACGTTATTTCCTTGAAAATTCCTTGAAATTTCATTAGGCGGTTTGCAGACCTTTGCAGTGCTTTTGTAGCAATACAAAGGATTTAATCAATTGTAAAGGCACAAAATAGCACAATTAACAAAGATAATTGCTAGCTAAAAAACCACAGGCTATTATACTGTTTAAAATTAAATATTTGTTCAGTGAGTTTACAACATATACCTTTCCATGGATATAAATAATTAATTCACAGCGTTTGGCGCCAAAAGATACCAAATCCTGTCGCTCAAAAACTTTCGGAAGTTTTCGGAAACACGAGGAAAAAGTTAAAACCAGATTTTTAATTGAACATAATTGATAATTCACTCAAAAATTCAAGAAATAGCGAAACATTCTTCTGCACTAATGCACTTGGATGAATATTTAAGTTGTTGGGAAAAAATCCTTAGATTTCCTTAGATTTTTTCTCTTCCTTAGATTTTCCTTTTCGACACTAGAATTTCCTTAGAAAAGGAAACTTCCTTGAAAATGGAAGCACTGACTGACAATGACTTGGAACCAGTGCTTCCATTTTCAAGGAAATTTCCTTTTCTAAGGAAATTCTACTGTCGAAAAGGAAAATCTAAGGAAGAGAAAAAATCTAAGGAAATCTAAGGATTTTTTCCGAAAAACTTAAATATTCACCCAAGCGCATTAGTGCAGAAGAAGGTTTCCATTTTTTTTAAAATTTTTGAGTGAATTATCAATTATCTTTAATTAAAAATCTGTTTTTAACTTTTTCCTCGTGTTTCCGGTCGGAAATTC